CACCCCACCCTTGACCTGGGGGGAACAAGAACAGACAGCTCTTCTTATGCCCAGACGCATTTTCTCGAGATTGTCCCCTGACCTTTGCCAGAGCCCTTCTGACAGCACCTCCTACCTGTCCTCTCCCCAGATCCCCATTTCTGTCCCCTTCATTTCATTGCCCTGCCCATGCCTTCCCGTAGTCCTCACTGCCTCCCTGTGCCACCACTGTGCTGGCCATACTTTCTGACCACCCTTTGGAGGAGGTGGACCCTCCTCTCCAGCACCAGGGTCTTCTTCTGGGCCAGCTGCAGGGTGCGGCGGGTGTCCTCTGAGCTCCCCGGCTGCAGGGCCTCCAGCTGGACGAGGACGTCCTGTAGCTGGACCTGTGTGGGGCCACACTCCTGCAGAAAGCTACACACTTCAGCACCATGTGCCAGCTGCATGGCTTTCTCCTGCTTCAGGGCCTTTAGCTGCCCCCACCTAGGCAGAGGGTACAAGTTTGTCTCTGCCCCAGGGACACCTTCCCATCCATCCTGGAGCCTTGGCCAGAGCCTCACACAATAGAAGCTGCCAGACTGGCTGTCCCTTGCCCTCTCTCTGTGCCTCGGACTTGCCCAGCCTCTCCACCTGGCATGGCAGGAGGCAGGTGAGTCAGGCCCGGGCTGGGCACTGTGTCCACCCCACCATCACCTGTACTCCCGCCTCCTTCTCACCTCTGCCTCAGTTCCTCCTGCTGTTGTTGGATTTTTGTGGCATCCCCAGGATATCTCTGCCTCAGTTGCTCAGCAGAGCTGCTGACCTCAGCCCAGAGGCCCTTTCCCACAGTCAGGGCAGTGAGGAAGTTCTGGGGAAAAGGAGGACCCAGGCCTCTTGGGGGGCTTCTCTTTCCACACTCCCATCAGGCCTATGGCAGAGCTCTCTGCTACAGGGATGCCCACACTGCCCATCCCCAGAAGGACAGCCATCCGAGTCCTTAAGGGCCAGGAGGTCCTCAAAGTTCAGGCCAGCTCTGCTCCCCACCCCCAGGCAGGACCGTAGATAAACTGGAGAACTGAGTCATAGCAACAGACCATAGGGAGGCAGGGGCAAGGCAAGGAGGAACTGCCAAGCCCTCTGGGCCGTACCTCATATTTGAGCTGCGTGACCTCCAGGCTGTCGACCTGGGGCTGCATCCTCTGGAGCAGTGCTATCTGCTCCTCCAGCCATGACCGGAGCTCCCCACAGGAACTGCAGAAGCCAAACAGGGCCATGGCCTCCTCCAACTGGGCCCTGCGGACCTGGGGAGGGGCAGCCCGAGGCTGGGGTGAGGGTTAGGGCCCCCAACAGGGCTCTCAGAGCAGGTGAAAGGGGTGTTCCTCCCCATCCCAGCCCACCAACAGAGCCCAGGGTCAGGGCCAGAGGGGGCTCCCCACCTCACCGCTGGGCCCCACATCCTCTCTCAGGGGCCTTGTGGCTCCATCTGGAGGGAGCTGGCAAGGGTTTAGGGTAGGGTAAAGGGCACTGCCAGTGTGCTCCTTTCTGGTCTTGCCCTGCTCAAACCTCTCGGTGCCAGCCCTGCTCTTAGGTAAAATCCACATGGCTCTCTCTGCCTGCCCCACCCCTACCTGCCGCTCTAGTCTAGTCTGTCCTCTGGCCATGGCTTCCCCAGCCTCTGTGCTGCAGGCACCCGGGTCTTCGCTTCCTCCACTGGGCCCCATTCCTGCCTTTGCACAGGTCCTGGCAAGCACCCCTGGATTTACTTGCTTTCTGTTTCTCATTCAAGCCTCAGCTTAAACGTTGTTCCCTCCAAGCCTGACCTTCAGCCTGACCTGGGCTACCTTCTCATGCAATCCCATCACACCTGCATCTAATGAGGTGTCTGACATCTTCTCGGCCATGGGAAAAGCTCCTTGAGGGCAGGGAGCATGTCAGTCATGACTTTCTTCCCTGCGATCACTGCACAGGAGCTGCTGGCACAGGGTAAGGGCTTGATGAGCATTTCTCGAAAAAGGAACGTTACCTCTGCCAGGGCCCGCAGACTCTCATAGTCTTGACTCAAGCGGTCCTGTGTCTGGAGTATAGTGTTGGGATCAAAGTCAGGGTCCGGCTCTGCTGGGATGACCATCTTCCAGGCATCCCCAGGGCCAGGGTGGCAGGAAGCCTCACTCCAGGGCCCTGGGTTCCTCAGGCTTTCTCCTGGAGGGCTCGGGGAAGACTTCACCTGTGTGACAGAGGGCAGCGTGTCTAGAGGGGGCCCCATCAAGCAGCAGGGGCTTTGGCCAGGCCACCCCTGCCTCCCTGCCCTGAGATCTGGAGGGCCTGAGCTGCAGCTTAAAGGGTGTATGAGACATGGATTGGGACACGAAGCTTCCTTGGGGCTGAGGGTCGAGGGGCAAAACGTGAGCACAGGATCAGATGGCCTTGATGTCCACATCTTGTGCTACATACACAGCTTCTTGAAAGGGGGTTGTGAACCAAGCTACCCATGTTTTTAAGAACTTTGGGGGCTCAATGATCTGAGCAAGGAGTGTCAGAAGGCAGTCTGGGACAGTGATTAGGCCACCGGAAACCAACAAGGGCTGTCAGGAGACAGAGCCAAACTGAGTTGAAGGGTCACTACCGGCCTGGGTGAAAGTGAGGGGGACCTTCCTGGAGGAAACTGCTTCACGCTCTGAAACTGCCGGCCACGGAAGCCAGGCCATGCTGTATTTGGGTGACCTCAGTTCGCATGCACAGACAGGATTCCACGACTTCTCGGCTAGGTCGACAGGTGAGATGCAGCGGAGGACTGGGGTGAGGGACACCCAAACCCACGGGAAGGACACGAATCCCAGGGCAGAGGCCACAAAGGCCCTCTCATTTTCGTCCTCAGTGTGGCCCAGCCGCGGTGGGGCAAGGGAGACCAGGAGCTGAGCGGAGGCCGACCGGCATTTGGTCTGCGTCCCTTCTAGGTCCCGCCCGCACCGTGAATGACGCCCGGGCCGAGGCCACCCGCGCCTGCTCCTCCAGCTGCCGCAGCTCGGCGGCGAAGGCGAGCAGGACGCGCTCCAGCCGCTCGTGGCGCCGCAGCAGGGCCTCTGCGGCCGCCTGGTCCTGGCCACAGGATGCGCTCTCCAGCGAGGATCGCCGCTCGCGCAGCCACGAAGCCGCTTCCGCCACGTCCTCGAAGTACTGCGGGAGGAGGTTGGGGAGGTGTGTGGATGCAGGGGAGCAGCTAAGCGCGGGCAGGTGATGGCACCCCCACCCCGCCCCGCTGGGCCCCGGCCCCACCCCACCCGGCTACCTGCAGGACCAGCAGGGCTGTCTGCAGCCATGCGCCCTGCCCCGCCACCCGGGTCCGGAGCAGCTGCCAAGAGCACTGCACGGCCTCTGCGCGTTCCTCGGGATCCGGCTGCGTCGCAGGCCCGCGGGCGCTGAGGTCGCGACCCCTCCGCACGAGATCTACGCACACAGCCTGGTGGCGGTGGACCTCGGCTTCCAGGGCCTAGCGGGGGCAGAGCAGGGGGCTCAGGGAAGGAAGAATAGAGGAGGGGCTGGGGGCCGAGAGAGAGGGACGGGTGAGGCGCTGGCGACCGGTGGGGGTGCGCGGGGAGCGGCCACCTTGTGTTTCTGCAGGGCGCCTGCGATCTGGTGGAGATCCCGGCCCAGGGCCGCATTCCCCACCCGCTGTCTGCACTCCTTCAGCCAGGCTTCCTCCTCCTCACAGTGGCGCAGGAACTCTGCCCGCTGCAGGGTCTGCTCCAGCAGGGCTCGCCTGAGGGACAGTAGGGGCCACCGAAGAACATGGGGAGTGGTGGGGAATGGGCAGTGTGTTCCCCTCCAGGGTCAGGCACTCCCCTTAGGCAGGAGTTTTCCTTTCCCTGGATGACTTAACAGGTGAGACAGAGGCCTTGGAGTAGGGTCAGTGTGGAGAAATCCGCCAGGACCCCAGTACTTTAACCTAGGCAGGAGATAATACGGGTTATAGAAAAGCTCTGGAAAAGGTGGAAGAGTTGGGGCGGGATCTTACCGGGCCTTGACAAGAGCCACCAGGCTCTGGTGGAGCTGGGCCAGTGTCCTGGCCTTGGCTTGCAGCACCTCCACACTAGTGCCCAGGGAGGAGTCCAGCTCTGCTGCCTCCTGGGCAAGATGGCTCACGTGGGCTCCCTGGGCCGAGACTTGGGCCTCCAGCAGGTCATGCCTCTGCAGCAGCTCTACCACCTCTGCCAGCTGCTGCCCACAGGTGGTGGACCTGGCCAGCTCCTGGTCAGAGATGAGTGGTCACTATAGTATCCCCAGAGTGCTGGGTCCCTCTGAGCACCAGCGCGGGGAAGTCCTCCACCCTGCTGTGTTTCCCAAGGGCCTGCTGGTCCAGTGCCCACCTGCAGCTCCTCCAGCTGTTTGAAGGCAGCCTCCACCTCCTGGAACAGGCTCAGCACAGCCTTCATATCTGCCACCTGCTTCCTCTGTCCCTGTAGACGCTGGAGGAGCCTCTGCCAGCGCAGGGTAATTTCCTCCTGCCTGGAGGACATGAGAATAAGGGCGATCTCCTCTGGGTTGGGGCAGGGAAGCTGCTTCAGGATTCCTGGTCTGTGGTGGGGGTTGGCTTCCTGGAGGAGTCTGACCTCTGGCTGGGGCAGGGTCTGTGGACTCTGAGAACATCCTGGTTGGGGGCCATAGGGGCAGGGTGTCCTACCTTTGGACACAGGCAGAGGAGGCAAAAGGAGGGCCTGGAAGGATTCGGCCTTTGGGGCACCCGACGTTGCATGCAGTCCCCATCTCAGCTGATAAAAACTCCATCCTTCCAGGTGCTCAGACTAAAATCTTTTTTTTTTTTTTTTGAAACAGTATCTGCTCTGTCCCCCAGGCTGGAGTGCAGTGGTGTGATCTTGGCTTACTGCAACCTCTACCTCCTGTGTTTAAGTGATTCTCCTTCCTCAGCCAGCTGAGTAGCTGGGATTACAGGTATGGGCTACCATGCCTGGCTAATTTTTGTATTATTAGTAGAGATGGGGGTTTCACCATGTTGGCCAGGCTGGCTTCGAACTCCTGACCTCAAGTGATCTACCAGCCTCAGTCTCCCAAAGTGCGGGGATTTCAGGTCTGAGTCACCATGCCCTGCCTGAAATCTTGATAACTTACTTTCTCACATGACATGTCTGATCTGTCTGCAAATTCTACTTGGCACTACTGCAAAATCTATCCAGAGCCCCACCACTTATCACCACTGCTGCTCCATCCTGGATTACTGCAATAGCTTTGTCACTGGTCTCTCTGCTTCTGCCTTTGCCCCTTGGATGTATTCCCAACATGACATCCAGGTGAGTGAGCATCACAAAATGAAAGTCAGATTGTATTACTCCTCTGTTCCAGCCCTCTGCTGATTTCCCATCTTTCTCTGAGCAAAAGCCAAATCTTTACTGTACCCTGCAGGGCCTGGATTGACCTCCATGCCCACCCCTCACCCCTGTCCCCCCCGACCTCAGCTCCTGCCACTTGTTCACTTTGGCCAGCACTGGCCTCTGGGCTGTTTTCAAACCTGCCAGGCATGTGGCTCACCTAAAAGGACACTGCATTTGCTGTTTCCTCTGCCTAGAATATGCTGTCTCCCCTGTATGCACAGCCAGCTCAGCACTTCCGGTCTTTATGTAGAAGTCAACTTCCCAGTGAATCCCCTCTAGCCACTCTACCTTAGCACCTCATATCCCCCTCTCCTCCTTTATTACTATTATTGAGACGGAGTCTCACACTGTTGCCGGGCTGGGGTGCAGTGGTGGCACCATCTCGGCTCACTTAGCCTCCGCCTCCTGGGTTCAAGCGATTCTCCTGCCTCAGCCTCCCAAGTAGCTGGTGCTACAGGCGTGTGCCACCATGCCTGGCTAATTTTTGTATTTTTTAGTAGAAACGGGGTTTTGCCATGTTGGCCAGGCTGGTCTTGAACTTCTGATCTCAGGTGATCCGCCTGGCTCGGCCTCCCAGCATACTGGCATTACAGGTGTGAGCCACTGTGCCCAACCTCTCCTTTATTATTTTTTAAGATTACCACATGCTATGCCTTTTTCTTATTTGTCCGTTTTTCTTAGTAGTGTGTAAGTTCATGAGGGAAGGAATTTGTTTGTCCTCTTCTCTGCTAAATCTCTAGCACCTAGCACAGCGTGTGAGACACAGTAGACACTCAAATTCTTACTTAGTGAATGAATCAGAGGCTACCTAGAGAGTGCTTTACCAATAAGGATGAATTACTGATGGTAGACTTGCAAGCATCGCTGGGAGACAGGCCTTTGTAGGGGGAGCCCTGAACCCATAAATCACCCCTCTCCTCTGTGGCAAAAAAAAAAAAAATGGGCACGTGACCTGGAAGGATGGTGGTGTGGTGGGAGAGCCTCAGCCGGTTATGAGAGTTCGTGTGCTCGGGGCTCACCTGCGGGCCACATCTGCCCAGCTGTGGTACTGCTCCTGCTGAAGGACGTCTGCGATCTCAGCCAGGGCCTGGAAGCGCCCCTCCTGGGGCAGGATGCCAGCCTCCAGCATGCCCAGCCTCTGGACAGCTGCCTCCACTGTAGCCAGGCTGGCTGGCGGGGCTCCAGCCTGGTCCAGCACCTGCTCTGCATCCTTAAGGAAACTCTCCCGGAGGGCCGCTTTGTGCTGGAAGCGCCGGGCCAGGGTTTCTAGCCTCTCCAGCTGCAGTAGCCTGTGCTGTAGGGCCTGGCTCCGTGCAGCCTCTGCCCACTCCAGCTCTGCCCACCACTGAGACAGCTCTACAAGGTCCAGGCCCTCATGAGGCAGGAAGGGCCTACGGTTCTGGGCTTCAAGTGCTGTCTGTAGCTGGAAGAACAGCGCCTCTGCGGCTCCTCGCTGCTGCAGCCGAGGTGGCTTCTCCTGGGTGCGGAAGGCGGCGAATGCTGCCAGTAGCTGTCGCATGGCGGGCAGCGAGTTTGGGAAATCCCGCGCCTCCAGCTGTGCCCGTTTCTCTGCAATCCAGCGTAGCAGGTCGGCAACCAGCTGCTCGTACTGGGTCTGCAGTATCTCTGTCTCCTGGAGCTGAAGCAGGATCTGGTGGAGGGCATGGGAAGGGGTCTGGGTGCTTCTTGGGGCAGGTCCTGAAATGGGCACTGAGTGCCAGCCCGAGTTCCCCAGGTGGACTGTAGCTACTTCTCTGAGCCAAAGAAGCTTTGAAGTGCTGGTCCCCCACCCCAGAGACCTGGGTTTGCTTGCGTTGCAGTCAGACCCAGGATCTTGGGGCCCCTTTCCACAACTGTGGGTGAGGCTATCTTGCCTTCCTCCTGTTTTACCCATTTGGCCTCACTAGTGGGGGTGGAGGTCCTTCAGGTTGCTGTTCTTTTTCCAGGCCTCCTTTCCCTTCCCTGAGCCCCCACCCTATAAAGCAGCACAGATCCCTTGGCCTGCATCATCCCCACCCATACCCCAACTGAGATACCCACCCTGAGAAGAGCACTTCCAGGCCTCAGCCTCCGCCATCGTGTCCACAGAGTAAGAAAGCCCCCCAAAAACATGAACTCTGTGTAGCCCCTGCCAGCAGAGTCTCTTCTGTGCCTGTCCTTGCAGAATCCTGGCTCTCTAAGCCTTTTAATCCCATTAGAAGCTTAAAAGCCTGAGAGTCGGGGAGAATGGGGAGGCCCAGGAGGGGCCATTCCTCCCCTGGCTTCTCCTGTATGCCAGGCACTGTGCTGGGCACATTACTAGTGCTCCCTGGAGCACTCACGTGGCCTTCTGTTATCCAGGCATCATCATCGACAGAGGGTGCACAGTGAAGTTGGGTGACTTGGCCAAGGCCACACAGCTAGTAGGTGGCAGGGCAGGCTTCACACTTAGGCCTGTCTGCCTCTGGAACCCTTGCTCACCCACCCCTCCTTTCTCCCCTACCTTAGCGAGTCTCCTCTGGACAGTCTGCCCCTGATGCAGGCGAGAGCCGTAGTGGTAGTAGAGGGAGACGTATGTCATGATGGAGCGCTCATCTGGCTGCGCAGCCGCCACGTCCTCGGGGTCCAGCAGCTGAGCGATGCCCAGCTCCTGCTCAGCCACCAGGAAGGCAAAGGCGAGGTTTTGCAGTGGGCGGTCTGGACGCAGGGAACCGTAGTCCAAAAGGTCTGGCCTGGACAGAGAACGGGAAGGGCGCCTCACCAGCAGGAACTGAATGCTTTCCTTCAGGTAGATTCTTAAACGCACTCATGCTGCTATGGCCATTCACACTGTCTTGTGAATTTGTTTTTCCCACAGTTAACTGAGGCCCTGCGCAAGGAGTGGGACTCTGATAAAGAGGGGGGTTCACTGGGCACAGGGACCAGGCTGGGGGAGGGGGCTGGGGGACCCTCCAAAGGGTGGGTGTTGCCAGAGTGAAGAGCATGAATAGAATTGAGGGGCACAGAAAGTGGAGAAGGCTGGGGTCAAAGGCAAACTTGGCCAGACTCACGGCATTGTCTAGGGAAGGGAAAGGGGCTGACGGAGCAGGGACTCAGACATCGGCCCTCTCTCCATCTGTGTCCACTTTCCTTCCTCCTTCAAGCTCAAAGATGTGGGAGAACGGGCAGACTGAGGACCAACCCGGAAGCCATGGGCTCCGTGGGCAGAGGCCTCCTGACGAGGGTGGGGTCACACCTGTGGGCATGGATGAGGGCATTGAAGCCCAGCCCATCGCTCCAGCTTCGGGAGAAATCAGTAATGTTCACGTTGGTGTAGCTGGCCGTTTTCCGCTGGCACCAGACTAGCAGGGCTTCCTTGGTAGACAGCAGGGCTGCACTGGCCCCAAACTCCTCCTGGTGGGACAGGGCAGCGGGGTGACCGTGCAGGGACAGGGTGGGGTGGCAGAGAGACTGCAGGCTGTGGGAGAGGCAGGCTGGCCACAGCGGACCCTGCTCCTCCCCGGCCCGGGGCTGGTGTGACTCCCCTCTCTTCAGAGCATCTGACTTTACCCAATTTCATCCACAGTGGGCAGAGATTGGGGGTGAGAGCTACTGGCCTTCCAAAGAAGCAGAGCAAAGGAAAGCCGTCACTGCACAGCCTCTGGCTTTGTGTCACCATAGGTGACCAGACAGCAACGCCACCCGTTTCTGAGCCTTTCTGACAGGCCAGGCTCTGTGCTAACTGACCTTGGGCTCGTGGGATCGAGGCTGGGCTTCATGAGACTGGGTCCTGCCACTGCAGGCTTTCTGCGAGCCAGGCCCTAGGCCCAGGCGCTATGGCTCTCAGCCCTCCCCACCCTGTGAAGTCAGCACTGCAGCAAACCAGGTGCAGCAAGGGAGGTTTGGAAACTGCCCAGGGCCCCCCAGATGGCAAGGGGAGGGGCTAGCACCCAGGAGCATCTGACAGCACCCACCTGCCAGTCGTGCTCAGGGCCTCACAGGGTGCCACAGGCTGCTCTCGGCCCCTCCCCTTCCCACCATATTTGCCCCATGCTGCCACTCTCGGCTTCCACCTGCCTCTCCCCATCTCTCTCCCTCCCACTTCCCCTTCTCGGCCTCCTCTCCCTCATCTTCTTTCCCCCAGTGCCCGTCCTTCCCTCAGTGTTGCTGTCCCTGAATCTGTTCCCTCCCTCGCCCCCTCACACCCCCAAGCCCCCATCTCTCCTTTTTCCTCCCCCTCCCCTGATTCTCTCCTGTGCACTCCCCTTCGTCACCACTTCCTGGGTTTTTTGTTTTTGTTTGGTTTTGAGATGGAGGATTGCAGTGTCACCCAGGCTGGAGTGCAGTGGCACGATCTCGGTTCACTGCAACCTCTGCCTCCCAGGTTCAAGCAATTCTCCTGCCTCAGCCTCCCAAGAAACTGGGATTACAGGCATGTGCCGTTCCCTGGCTAATTTTTTGTATTTTAGTAGAGATGGGGTTTCACCGTGTTGGCCAAGCTGTTCTCAAAGTACTGACCTCGAGTGATCCACCTGTCTTGGCCTCGCAAAGTGCTGGGATGAAAGGCGTGCACCCCCAGGCCTGACCTCTTCCTGTTATAAACTCAAAACATCAAGGCCCAGCAGGCTGCACTTCCCCTGGCCTCTAAGCCCCAGAGCTTGGGTAGGAAGGATGTGTGGGCACCAGGCAGAGACGAGGGGGCCCTGGAGCTGGGCTCTGCCCCAGCGAGCTCAGGCCCCAGTACCCTGCATGGTGGGGCCAGGCTGCAGATGGAACTGGGAAAGAAGAGGGGACGGCTTGTGAGGGAGCAGGGCTAGCCTGAGCCCAAACATATCTGAGTCAGCAGGAACAGGGCCGGAGGGGGCTGCAGACAGGCAGGAGGCGGTGCTGGTCAGGGGAGAATGTGCCCTGCTGCTCCCAAAAGCCTGGGCTGCAGGGTGACCCAGAACTGGCCCAGGGGCCTGGGGAGGTGAGCATAGCTTCCTGAAAGGGCTGAGGTCAGTTAGAAATTCATCCACCCCTTCAGCTTTCAAATAGACGCGCAGCCCTGGGAATGCAGACACACAAGACCCCTGCTCTCCTGGGACTCAGGCCCGTGTTTTGAGGCTGTCCTGGACTTGTGCCAGATCTGTGGCTTCTTTTCATGGGAGTTTCATTCTCCAGGTTGGTTTTCCTTACCTACTAGAATTGAGTTTTAGGTAGTGTTTTGGAAATCATGAAACTATGAAAAAGAGTAAGCATAAGGGCTTATTTCTGAGACCGGGTCTCACTCTGTAACCCATGCTGGAGTGCAGTGGTGCGATCACAGCTCACCACACCCTGGGCTCAGGATAGCCTCCCACCTCAGCTTCCCGAGAGCTGGGACTACCGTGTCCCACAAAGACTGTATAATCTTTCTGACCCAGTGTTGGGGGGAAGAGGCAGAATGGAGGAAGCTGGGGACCCTGAAGGGAATACTGTGTGCTCTGCAGGGTGCCAGGGTCTTTGTGAACCCCCAGAGCTGGGCATCCCTCCATACCTTTCATTTACCCCAGCAGTACATTGTGGTGTGATGGAAGTTGCAGAGCCTCAGTGCCAAGTTGGGGAGCAGCACACAGGGGTGAAAGTGGGTGCCGGACAGTGGCCCCGAACCCTCCCTAGTGAATCATTTGCCCAGGCCCAGTTTGAAGCCCAGGGCTCTGGCCCTCACTTTAGCATACTTCAATGTTACAGTATCTCTGGCATCCTGGGTTCTTTGCTCATGGTTAAAGAGTAAATATTGACTTTGTGGTTTCCAAGATCTCCTATGGGGATCGTAAAAGTTTCATGCAACGACTTGGTCCCCAGGGGTCTGAGGTGAGGCCAGGGCTGGGATGGGTCACTGGGTGCTGGGGGGTGGGGACTGAGTCATACCCTGTCCAAGGAGATGTGGGAGATCTGGAAACGCAGAATGATGACCCAGATGAGTCCCAGGATGTGTGTCTGATCTCCATCCACGATGTTCTCTGGCCCGATGAGTGGTATTGGCACCTGTAGGCACATTGGCTGCGCTTAGCCATGAAGCCTGTGTCCAGAGAGGACTCAGTCAGCAATGTCTGGGGGCTGGCTGTGGGATGGGGGGGCGGTCCTGGAATCTGTCTTGCCCCAGCCAGGAGGTCCCCCAGGGAGAAGCAGGCAGGGGATAAGTCCAGGAAAGCAAAGGCTTCCTGCCTGCTTGGAGCCATGACCCCAAGCCTACCTGGACGAAGCCTCAACCTGGTGAAGTGGGCTGGGCCCCTGGAACAGAAGGACTCCCTGTGTGTGGGCTACAGGTAGACCCCAGCCAAGGTCAGTGGTTTAGCTACAGGGTCTGGGAATGAGGGGTCCTAACAGTCAATGTGTGCGTGCAACAGACAATAGCAACTGTCTGCCTCCATCTCCCAGGGTGACCTGGCCTTCAGGGGGTGGCTGGGTCCCTGGGTTCACATTCATATCTCACCCCCCTTCATCTGTTCCAGCTCCAACAGGGCCAGCTATAAATCCAGATTCCCAAGCTCCACCCAGTCAGACCCACTTGGACCAGAGTCCAGGATTTGCACTTGAACAACACCTCAGTGGCTTGTAAGTGTACTAAAGTTGAGACTCCTCTGCCCTGCATCCTGCCGCTTGGACAGGGAGGGTGGGTGAGTCAAGGGGAGAAGCCCCTCAGGGTCTGGGCCCCAGCCCCCTCTGGCTCCATCTTCCACCCTGTGGAATCACACAGCTCCAAGGCCCATCGGATTCTTGTAGTTCCATGAGATTGTAAGCACAGGACTTCAGGCCTTTGCACGGTCATCCCTGCTGTCTGAAAGGATTCCCAGATATCTGCATGGCTATTCACCCCTCTGCCTTTAAGCCTTCACTCAGATGTTGCCTAGCCTGACTACTGTATTTAACATAGACACTTAAGGACTATTTCTCCCACCCAAATACACACTCTCCATTCCCTTGGCCTGCTCAAGTGAGGATCTTGGCTTTGTTTTCTGATGAGTCCTAGGAGAGTGGCACACAGCAGGGACTCAATCAGCAAGTACTAAATGGAGAAAGAAAAGACCTGGAGTGCAGCTGGCTTCAGCTGGCCACTGCTAGCCCTGTGGGAGGGGCTGCCTCTCTTGGGGTTCCCCTTGGTAAGCTTTGGTATATCCCGCTAGTCTCTAAAGGATCCTGCTCTTTGGTGCTCCTGGGGTGGATTCCACCTGGCAGGTCAATCACATTGGCTTAGAGTTGGAGCCTCTGGTGAGTGGGCTGTTTGTCTGCTCCTCCCAGCTCCTAAGAGCCCATCGTCCTGACTTCCTGCTTAGCGATGTCAGACTGGTGGCTTAGAAGTCACCATGACGGGGTATTAATACCATAGGATCAGCAAATACTGCACACTGGAGCTTCTACATCCCCCAGAGAATCTCTTGTTAACCATTTACCAGCAGACGGCAGATCTGAGTTCAATGAATCTGTCTCCCATTGAAGCCAGGTGCCTTGAGGGCGAGGTCTGCGCTTTGCTGATTGTAGCCCCGAGCCTGCATAGAATACCCAGGGCACGGTAGCATCTCCATAGCGAATGCATCCCTCATTCTGCCATATATTCCCTGTGCCTTTGGGGCGGCTCCCTTGTCCTTCTAGACCACAGTTGCCTCCTATGTGTATGGAGACAAGGATGTCTCCCTCACAGGTATTAGTGACATGCTATATATTAAAGCTTGGGGAGAGCTACACGCCTCTGACAAAGGCTGTGGGGCTCACACGGCTCCCAGGTTCCTGGGGGGGGGAGATGACTGGCTCACAGGATCATCGTCCCTGGAGCAACGAGGGCCTGGGATTCTGCAGCTGGCAGTGTTCTGCTCTTGCACCTGCTCAGGACCGCGGTGGCTCCCCTTCCCTTTGTGGGGTTTCTTCCCTCCCTGGCTTTCCTCCCGCACGCCAGTACCCCAGGAGGCTGGATGTAAGCTCCACTCCAGGACATAGTGATGGGCACGGACAGTCAGGCTCTGTCCAGCCAGGCCCAACTCAGTGACTTCAGAGCCTCCAGGGACAGCCACCTCCAGGAGTCCTTGGTCTTCCCAGTTCCCGGTTCCCAACCTAAATGATCTCTTTGCCTCACCCCACCCCTGCACAGGCCCCTCGCCCTGGCCAGGAGGGTCCCTGTCCCTGGAGCTCCGGCCTCCTTTTAGCAACTATCTCCTTGGCCCGTCCCTTTCTTTCAGGTAACTCTGGCTGCCCCCTTTTGCCGAGGTCTCCTCCCTGCTTCTCCAAGACAGGCCCTACTCCTCTCCCCACTGCCGCCTTAGCGTCCGGTTCTCCTTCCTTTGTTTCCCACTGGATGCCAGCCCCCCCCATGGCCCCACATCTGGGCTCTGCTGGCTGGTTAGCCATCAATCTTGCCTGGCAAGTAATTTGGGGCCTGTTTTCTCATCTGTGACATGAGAAGCTTAAGAGAACCCTGCACGTCTCCCTCATGACGGACAATGCCGTTTTCCAACCCAGTAGGGACATGGATTGCTCCTGCCTTGGCCAGCTGGGTGCTCTTAAAGTCAGGGGTGCTGTGTGAGGAGGGCGTGGCTTCTGCTCTTCCGGTACTCAGGCCCCAACTCCTCTGCTCTGCCCTGTGGCCTGGCTCAGGAAAGGTGACCCAGTAGTCCAGCCTGCCCCAGCTGCCTGCCCCGGCACCATCCCAAACCCCTTTCCCTAGGGCCCACCTTGGCCCTGAGGAAGGCCAGAGCTCGGCTGCTGTTCTCCAGGAAGTGCACGCGCATGCGGCCCCGGCTGGGGGGTGGCAGGGCCTCCCCGGAGATGAGCTCCAGCAGCCGCAGCAGGTGGGTTCCGTCGGCCAGCTCTGTGTACAGGTTCCGGATCTTGATGCCCACCTGGGGAGGGGATGGGGGAAGGTATGGGGTCAGCCCAGCCTTACCTGTCCTCCCATCCTGGGATCCGAGAGGTGTGACTCAGAGCAGCTGCCTTGGAAGAAGGAGCTCTGGCCTCAGCTCAGCCTCAGGCAGATGACCCCACAGCTCACCCGCAAGGCGCACTGGCCAGAGCTGGGGGCATGGCATGGGTGGGCTGGTGGGGCACAGCTGGCTACACTCGCCTGGCCGCACTGGAAGACGTTGTTGATCCACTTGGTGAAAGTCTTCTCCTGCATCTGCATGTGCCGGGCCTGCAGCTTGCGAACGTGGCCCATCTCATACTGAGAGTCCACGGTGGCAGCTGGACTGGGTGGGGCCTGGAGCTCTGTGCTGGGCCTCCTGCTGCGGCGCCCTGCAGCCCCGAGGAGCTCCCGGGGACTGTGGGGCTGACCAGCCATCAGGCCTGCAGGCCTTTGGGGACGAGGAGCTGATGGATGCCTCCCTAAAGCCGGAGGGCATGCAGGTTAGGGGATGTGTGAATGGAGATGGCCCCTCTGCCAGGGGCCTGGGGTCCTGCCTTGCCAGACCGTCCTCACATTTCATGGGGGTTGCAGCTTGGAGTCCAGCTAGGTAAGGTCCAGTGCTCCTGATTGAATGACCCAGGTTCCCTTTGCCCCACCCCACCCCACCTTCCAGATTCTTCTTCTCGGAGGCCCTGCTGCCAGGTCCCTCCTCCACAGTGACTGGGGCAGGTGGAAGGAAGACAGCAAACTGCTTACCTTGGTGATGCCTGGATCCTGTGGAGGTGGCCCTGCTGGACAGATGGAGAGGGCAGATAGCAGGGGCTGTGCATGGAGGGAAAGGGACATCAGGAGAGGCCGAGGCTGGAGCGGGGCCGGCCACAGCCCTCCCCTCCAGCCAGTGTGTGCTGGGGTGACTGCACACAGGCGGCATTGTCCTCCCACCTGCCACAGGGCGTGGCCCAGACTGGGAGGGGGTGGCTCGAGAATGCTCCAGGGCCATTGCTGGAGGAGCTCTTCCTTATACCCTCCCTTCCCCACAAGCAATGTCCCCAGCTCCAGGTGGGGGTCCTGACTCCCAGTACAGAGGCCAATGGGGGGGGCCCTGTTACCCTGGGTTGGAGCTCCGTGGGCGCGCTGCAGTCTGTGTAGGAGGCACCAAAAGGCAGAGCCTCTGCGGGAAGCCTGTGGTCGCATTTCCCAATCAAACTGCCCTCTGCACACCTGCGGGATCTCTCTGTGAGCACCAGGGTGAGGGGATGAGGGAACATCCTGGGCCATGGTCCCTTCATTCACCCCCAGGGAACAGCCCATAGACTGAGGGCCTCACGGTCCCTGGGCTTGGCTTTCCAGGCCCTGCCAGAGGTGCAGCCAGCCTAGTCCGGGGCTGAAGGGTAGGCTCCCCATAGGAAGGGGAGGCCTAGAACTTCAAGAGCTGTGGAGTCTCCTCGAAAATTAGAAACACGGTGTTAACCCAGGGCTTGGAGGCAGGGGTGCAGAGGGAGCTGGTGGGCGCCTATCCCTTCCTCCCTGACCAGCCCTGGACTGCATGCCGTGGCTGGTTCTAGAGTGAAGGCAGGTTCTAATTCTGGGGGTCTCACCCACCTCCCTCTAAACTCTGGGTAGCAATGCAGGCTGTGGTGCGTGTTTGTGGGTGTGTCTCCCAGCAGCCCTGGAGCCTCTGAAGCAACAGCCAGCTTCTCAGTGAGGCACCCTCGGCAGCCACAGCCCACAGCAGGACAGCAGCTCAGCCCCCCCTTGAGAGCTGGGCCAGGAATGAGTCACACCTGAACTGCCTGGGCACACTGCAGGCAGTCGGCGGTGACGTGGAGGGGTGCCGTGGTCTTGGGTGGAGTGTGGCTCCCTGCATCTGAGAGACGCTTTGTCTCCTGCTGTCCTCTCCTGCCAGGCCCCTCCTGCACCGACTGGCTTCCAGACACCCTGCGCTCCTTCCTTGCTCACAGCAGCGGCTGTGGCGATCCTCCTGTGCGCCTCTCCTGCCCTCCCTGCCCCTGCGGGTCCTCGTCACTGACCCCCTAGCTCGGCAGCCTAGGCACCACCACCCCGCACCTTTCCACAGCGCAGCTCTGCTCACGCCTGCGAAGCCTGCCACCGCCTGGGAAGGAAAAGCCAGACTTGCCAGACTCGCCTCAGCTGGGCCTTTGAAGCCCGCCAGGTTACCTAACCAGGCTCACCTGCCCCTCACTCGGGGCGCTCCCCACGGGCCACTCTCCATTCCCTGAGCAGCACCTGAGCTCTCCTGCCCCCGAGGCTGGGCTTCAGCTGTTTTCTCAGCTTAGAATGTCCCTTCCCACTCTCCATCCACATTCACGTATCCTGCCTGCCCCAGTTAAAATCCTGTTTCTTGTAGGAAGTGCCTCGTCCCACCCACTTACCCCCGGGAGACTGAGCTTACTCCTCCTCCTATTAAGACCCTCAGCCCATGGAGTCGCGTGTGAGGTTGTGCACTCTGGAGGACAGACTGAACTGCAGGATGCTCTGCACATAGACCTCAAAATGACAGTGTGACAGACACTGTCATTTTGAACTTGTTGGAGGGGGCTGCGGACTGCTTTTCTTCCTTTCTAGCTCAATGGCAGCTAAAGCCACTGCACACCATGCAAGGACTGGCTTTTCTCTGGCCAGGACTGATTGCAGCCCCTGGTGACATGAGAACCCTGTTGGTTAGAACAGAGTTTGGATTATTTATGTTGCAAGTAACCAAAATCTCAAGTTAAACTGGTTTAAACTATTTATTTTTAGTCGATTATTTTTTAGAGACAAATTTATTTATTTATTTTTAGCTAATTCTTTTTTAGAGACAAGGCATTCTTAGGTTGCCCAGGCTGGTCTTGAACTCCAGGCCTCAGCAATCTTTCCACTTCTGCCTCCTGAGTTGCTGGGATTATAGGTGTTAGCCACCATGCCTGGTCTAAATAGTATAAAGGTGGCCCACACGGTGGGAAAAAAAAAAAAATCAAAAACTAGTAGGAATATGTCTTCAGGTGAGGTTTGATTCAGCAGCTCAAATGTTGTCACCACAGGCCTGGATTCCTTTGGCCTTTCTCAAGGTCTCTTTCATTTTCATGCTGCACAGGGTGGCTTCTGCCAGGCTGACCTCCCTCCCCTGACCCCAGCAGCTCTGGGCACCCATCTCAATGCCATTTATATTGTTGCATCAGTAAGCTCACTTCTATATACTGCAAAGTTCAGAGAAGAGAGAACATCTCTCCCAAGAGTTTTTACAGAAGTCTGGGGGCCCTGGCTCTCACAGGCTTCAACAGGGCCACATGTCCATTCCTGAACCAATATTTGTGACCAGAGGGACGTGGTCTAGCTCATCCAAATCTCACTTAAGGTGAGGGTGGGAGGAGGAGGCTCTGCCAGGAGACTGTAGGTCTGGACACCAAAAAGGGAGATGGGTTGGTGGGAAAAGCCAGATGCCTACTATAGTTGGGTGTGGGGAGCGCACCAGTGAGGTGTGGCAAGAGGCGGGAGGGGTGCTGTCCAGGCAGGGGCTCCTCCCTAACACCGCCGGGGAAAGGGCTCCTGTGAAATGCCCACCTCCACGAGTCCCTTGTGTCCTGGCTTCCACCCATTCTGAGATGAGGTTTTCACCTGCCGACCTGGTCTCTGCTGCCTACCCTCTGCTGGGCCCACCTGATGGGGCTGCTTTCCTTCAGAAATAGCTACATTTGGGTTTCTCTCCACAGTAAGAGTTTGGGGTCACAGGCACAGCCTCTTCCTAACTCTTCTCCCCAGTTCAAACTGGACCCAAGGATCCACACTCTGCTCCGAGGCTGGCACACAGCCCTGGAAAT